TCGATGGAAGGCATCCCCAAGGGTTCGATAACCACGAGGCTTCGCTGGCTTCGTGGGACACCTGCGCCATCGAGCTGAAGCGGACCTTCTTGAGCCAACACCGGCGACAGAAGGCGGATGACTTGCCCCAGACGAGAACTCAAGCACCCAACGAAAGCGTGATCAGCTTCGTTGAAGACGTGCTACGCCTGTGTACACGCGCCGACCCGCAGGCCACCGAGGAGAAGTTGCGCTTCCTCACGAGGGGCGTCAAGATCGAAATCTTCGGCGGTCTGTACGCAGCACCCCGGCGGCGGTTGAAGGCTTCGTGGCCGAGGTGACTAACATTGAGCGAGCGCTGTCGGTCAGAGCTGTCCATTATCAAGACTCGCCGTGGTGTCAACGGTTTCGGTTGTTTCAACACCTCGCTCTGATGTTGATGGTGTCGGTATCAAACAGCTGTGACAGATCAGCTGCGACGTTGTCCGGGACGAGCTCAAGAAGCTACTGCCGGCTCCCAACCACCCGGCTTCGCTCTCAATTGCCGAGGTGGTTCGAGAGAAAATACAGCGAGCTTTCCAGCCAGAGGCTCCGATCACCGTTCCAGCTCCCGAAGGACCGATTCTGAGCTACACCGCCATGGCCCGGCGACCGCCGCCAGCAACCCGCCAGTACCCCGCACCTCCACCAGAAATGTCACGAAGGAAGGCGACGAGAGGATGAACAGTCGACTAAAAATAAAGGTTTAATCGGCGAACTTGTGCTAAACACAATAAAAGACGAGCGTCGAAACAGCAAAAAGACGTGCGGCGATTTGGCGGCGTAACAGCAAGCAAGAGCGAGACTGACTCGACAAGGTCCTGGGCTGCTCCTTATCTACAGTGCGTCACTATCTCGAAAATTCGGCAAAGAAGGTTCGAGTATCGCGCGCTCGGGTCGAGAATAAACAGGCACTTTCGAGAACAAGAAAGCAGGACGAAATGATAAAAGTTACGTCCGGAGCAAAAATCAACGCGAATCTTCTAGAAGTCCATGACTGAGCGTTGCTTTCTCGGCCTTGTAGGCGGCAATATAATCCAGCATGTTTTCTCTCCAAAAACTGCCCCCCCTCCCAAAAAAAATAAATAAATAAATGATACAAACAAGAAGTGCAAATTTTTAAAAATAAAAGTCGGATATGTGTTTTTGTATTGTTTTCGTGTTTTGGTGTTAATCAAGTGTTTTCGTGCTAATATCTGAGAAATTGTTTTATGAAAATAATGTATATATATGTCCTTTTATACCTGTTCGTAAATATGATATTTTAGGAAAACTTTTATTAATATGATGATATATCATAAGATATGGTTCTTAATCACAAAAGCGCGAAGGACAAGGACAGGACAAAGAATTAACAGTAGTAGTAGTAGTAGTTTATTGTAAAGTGAAAAGGGGGTAGAAGCAAGGCGAAAGGTTAGTCTCCCAGTGGTGGGGTCAGCTTTCTCGCCTTGCTAGGGGGATAGGGGGAACCAAGAGTGGTTGAAGGAGAGGTGGCGCAACAAACACTATGATACACTATAATACACTATGATACACTATTTACACTGTGATACAATATTAAACGAATTGCGTGGCTAATTGTGATCTTGGTCCTTTCCTGACGTATTACAGGCTGCTATAGCCTGCGGATTTTAAATAGTCAAGCAGTGCTCTTAAAGCTTTTGTTCTCGAATGCCGCGAACCTGTCGGGAACAGGAGTGACTTGGTGTTGCCAGCAGGAATGTTAAGCTGTTTGAGGGTGGTCACAAGTGTTTCTCGGTGGTTGCTCACCGCTCTGCAATGCCAGAGAATGTGTTCGATGTCCTCCGTGGCACCACAGGCACTGCAGGCTGGGGATGACAGGCGTTTGATGAGATGCAGTCGAGAAGCGGTTCGGGCGCAGCCTACCCTTATCCGATGAAGTAGAGCTTGTTCCAGCCTGCTGAAGCTTTTCTTGGGAATTGTGTACGGCGGTGTTCTAGCCGCAGTTTCAGGGTCAGGGTGAAGTTTCTGAATGGGTTTTTGAATAAGGCTGTTTGACGAATTATATGGATGTACGGAGATTGTTGGTGTGACATCCGCATGAGCAGCCCGTGCGAGAGAATCCGCAGTCTCATTTCCTTGAATGCCAACGTGGGAAGGGATCCACTGAAACTGGATAAATGCACCTTCGACAGCTGCCTTCTGCACTAGGGAGGCTATAGTGCGAGCTAGCGGAGATGCTCTTTCCAGGTTCGTGAGTTGCCTCAGAGCTGCTTGGGAGTCGGAGAAGATGACAAAGTGGTGTAGCTCCGCGTGCTTGAAAATTTCTTGTACGGCAAGCCAGATGGCAGCAAGCTCGGCACATGCGGTGTTCATGCAGATGTCCAATCGACCTTTCGTGTGAACTCTAAGTTGGGGAATGCAGTAGGCAGCTGTGGCGGAATTCCCACGTATGCTACCATCTGTATATATGTGCGTTTGTCCTGCGTAGTCTGTGGTTATCAACTCTTCAGTAATAGACCGTGCTACGCAATCTGCGACCCTACCGCGCCGAGGCAGGTCAGGAATAGTTGCCAATATTTGCAGTTTCTCTTCGTCACAGTGAGGCGGAAGTGTCTCTGGAACGTTAGAAGGATAGCCGATTGTTGAACGAAATGCTTCACCCATCCTTTTCAAAAAAGAATTATGCCTTGCTATGATGCCTTCGATGAGTTTGATTGCATTAGGTGCACTGTGGAGCCTAGTGAAATGTCGAAGCACTCGTTCTTGTGCTTGATTCCGTAGTGGGGAGTCGCCGGCTTCTACAAGCGTGGGCACATTTTGTGATGAGCAGGGCAGGCCGAGGCAGAACCTTAGCGCCGTTCGGTGGAAAGTTTCAAGAGTTGTCCATTGTGGTCTTGCTATGTCGAGTAGGGTAAGTGCGTAGAGCACTCTGCTTACAATGAGACCCCGATAGAGCGTCAACAGTGATGACTGGAACGGACCCCAGTTTTGACTCGCGATGCGGTGAAGAGCACCACATAGTTTGCGAGAATTCTTTCATGACGTGCTTAACAGCAGGGCGCCAGTTCACTCTGTCGTCTATAATGACGCCAAGGTATTTAACTTGTGTCCGCCTTCGAATACGTTCTCCTACCACGCGAAGTCTTGAGAATTCGGAACGTAATCGCCCTCGTGGTCTGTAGGTGAGTGCGGAGGTCTTAGCAGTAGACAATGTGAGGCCAGCGTGAAAGAGAAATGCCGAGGTGGTGTTAAGAGCCTTTTGGAGTTGTGCTTCAACTGTTGTTGAGAGGAGCGTTGGGCCAGCACACCACAGTACGACGTCGTCAGCGTATATTGCACATTTGACTGGAAATATACTTTCCTTTGGCAAAGCAGGGGGGAGTGCTGCCTTGACAACATTGAAAAGTAGCGGGCTGAGGACACTTCCCTGTGGCACTCCTTGTGTGCACTCGCGTGGCGTACTCAAATGCCTGGCCAGTCTAACTTGGAGCGTTCGTTTGTTTAGAAAAGATCGCACAAAGGCCAGGGCCCGACCTCCTACCCCGATTAATTGCAATCTCTCTATTATTATGTCGTGAGGAAGAGCGTCGAAAGCACGATGTATATCCAAGAACACAGCATGTAGAACATGTTTCTGTGCTTTGGCCTCTTCAAGAGACGAGGCAAGATCCCCGATGGCATCTGCTGTGGATCGACCTCTTCTGAAGCCCGACAGTTCGTGTGGGAACGCGTTTGTATGTTCAAGTTGCCAAGTGAGACGGCGGTGGATCATCCTTTCCATTAGCTTGAAGGTGCAGGATGTCAGCGATATTGGGCGATATGAGGACAAGTCATTCGCGCGCTTTCCTGCTTTCTTGACAGCTATCACGCGGTCGATTGTAGCCAGGCATTGGGTAGTACTCCTCCCTGCCAAATGTCGTTGAAGTAGGCGAGTAGTTTGGGTCGGTCTTCTTCGTCGATGTTTTTTAGGGCCTGGTTAGTTATACCGTCAGGTCCTGGGGCACTCCGTCGACGGCAGTTTGACCAGGCGTAATTTAACTCTGATAATGTGAAGTCGTCATCAACTGACTTTTTGGGGAAGTGTAGAACGGGAGGCCTGGATCCAAGAAAAACCGCCTTTGGTGAGTTGATGTGAGCGGTGAATTCATCTGCAAATCGTTCTCTGAGGGTAGCGAATGAGATTTTGTTTTTGATGGCGATTGCTGCAAAGTGGTCTTTAGGTGGGACTGCAGTGAGTAGGCATTTGACTGTCGTCCATGGGAGGCGGGATCCAGCGTCAGTGTTTAGTGAATTACTTCTCTGTTGCCATTGATGACGGCCAAGTTGTACGGTATATCTGCGAAGCTTGGCCTCAATTCGTCGTGATGTTGTCCAGTCTTGGGGTCGCTTAGAACGTCTAGCTATTCATTGAGCTCGCCGGGATGCGGCGCGAAGGTTCAAATATGTCAGGTCTGGGACTGGTTTTGTTGTTAGGAGCGTTATTTGCTTAGTGGCGACTTTGGAGGCGGTGGTTACGGCCTCCTCAATCGCTGGAGGATTTTGGCCTCTTAATATCGTGCTAAGGGTTACGCGATAAACGTCCCAGTTGGTAATCTGATGCGTTCTGATCTTCCGTGGAATGGCCGTGATGGGGAGGAGCAAGATGGGCACGTGGTCACTTCCCCATGTGTCAGGTTCTGCATTCCAGACCATCTGTATTTCGGGTGATACGAATGTTAGATCGAGAACGCTGTCTGTTTTAAGAAGAGGGCGAATGAATGTTGGCGATCCGTTGTTGAGGCATCTTAAGCCTAGATCTTTCGTTACATCAATGAGCGCATTTCCCCTTTGTGTGGTTGTGTCACTTCCCCAAACAGGGTGGTTCGCATGAAAATCTCCGCACCATATAATTGGCCCAGGACAGCGTTTTCTGATCTTTCTCATTTCATCGGGATCCCAGGGTTGGTGAGGACGTATGTAGCTTGAGACAACAGTAATATCACGCTTGTCCATTCTTATTGTTACGGCTGTATGTTCACCGTATAGAGTGTTCAAGTCGCTAAGGTCGATTTCCATTTGTTTGAGGTGATTCTGCACGAATATAGATGCTCTAGACTTCCCGTCGAGGTGCGGTGTCTTACTGTGATATTGGACGTATGGGGATAATCGATGAGGTCCTGGTTGCACATACGTTTCTTGAAGAGCAAGAACATTTGGTTGAAGCTCCAGGAGGCGGCGACGAAGTTCGGAAAGTCGAGGTCGAAGAGTATTAACATTCCACTGGATGATCGATGGAAGCATCTTGATACGACCTGGCGCTACCGGCGCGCGCACAGGGGATCCTGCAGCGTTGCTCTCAGGCATCGCTGTGTTGAGAATTTTTCACGATTCCGACGACAGCTGTCTCAAAGAGCATCATTCCTTGTAAAATTGTCTTCAATGTGCTTGGTGGCATTTGTGCAATGGCACTCCGCAGTGCAGAGAAGATGAAGCCTATTAAGCTATCGGCGGATGTGGCTGATTCTTGCGCTGGCTCCTCAGACACACGTCGACCAGAGAGTACATCACTGTATGCAAGGTTTCTATTTGGTCTAGTCTGGGTCATTTCCTGTTGGTCCTTCTTCGCATCTGACTTTCCTGAGTTTTCTTTATCAGTGGTTGGAGAACGTTTAGAAGAGATATTCATTGACCTCGATGCAGCTCTTTTTGGCGAGTCCTTCTTAGGTTGAATTTTTCGTCCTGCTTGCGCATGGGAACGATCTGCGTGCGTTGCTTCTTTTTGGAGCGCAGGATATTCTTCTTGTGCTACAGGTAGTTCACGTTGTGTTTCAACAAGCTTTGGTCCGTAAATGAAAGATTTTTTCCTTGTAAGTGCTGCCAGGCGTACCTTGCAATTTGCATAAGAAGCTGGATGGTCACCGAGACAGTTCGCACATTTGGTGGGAAGTGTGCCAGGGCATTCTTTGGACGAGTGTGGTTCTCCACATCTTTTGCATTTTGTTTTCCCCTTGCAGTACTTTGCAATGTGGCCGAGGGCCTGGCAGTTGAAACACCTTGGAGGTGCTTCAATGTGCTCGGTTACCTCGTGCCGTGTGAAGCCGAGGTTGATCTTGTCCGGTCGCTCGGTGTTTGGACGGAATGTTAGAACCACTCGGTCGGTTGGTTGGGCAACATCTGTTGCATTTTCGCGTCGCTGGTAGAGCCGACGAGCGGCGATCACACCGGCTGGTCCCAGAAATTCGTTAAGGTCATTATCAGTGTACCACTTTGGTACCCCTTTGATTAGACCGAAGTTTTGTAGGTACGCTTTGGGTATGGTTGCTTGTACCGGGATCCCACAAAGGGAATGCACTTCGAGAAGTCGATGCACAGTCGGTACTTCCGAGACATCAAGTAAAAGACCTCCCCTCGCTGTGAAACGATGTCTCACGATGGGCGCGCCAGCCAGTGTCTCTACTTCAGCAGACAATTTCAGCGGGTTTTGTTGCTGCAACCGCTTATCCTCCTGCACGGGCGTTAGCAGGACTGGAACCCCTGTCGTCCTCTGTCGACGATGTTGCACTAAGGTGAACTCAGAGTCCTCTCCGGCTTCCGTCTCTTCCATTTTTTCGGGGTGGTCGTTCACTGATATCTCCTCATCATCACCGTCTCCCTTACGTCGCTTAGTTTGGGGGCTTACTTGTGTTCCATTGTAGGTATGGTCTGATTCGGTAATATCCGAGGTCGTGGCTGGGGGATGTCCATCGGCACAGGACATACCAGGTGTACCCCTGCCTCGAAAGGCCAAGGTTGACTTGAATGGGCGTCTTAAAATATACGTGTCCAAAAATTGAAACAAGAGAAGAAAAAATGGCGACCTAGTCAAATAGGATTCTTCTTCCTCCTCCTCGGATGGAACAGCGCGGATCAAGAATTAACAGGACAAGCGCTTACTGACAACTGATTGTTTAATGCTTAGTAAAAGATAGCCGAAAATGAGAGGAGATTTAATAAATTAAAATTCCAATTGTTTTCCCACGTAAAATGATTAAAACATTAATTGAGAAAAATTAGGACTGATAGAAAAATTAAAGAAGAGCATCCAGATTAAGAAAAAAGGTTGAGGTACCCTATCTCTTTCTCAGACAGTGAAATTGATGGTGTGCTAATGCACGTGTCTCCTTTTTCGATTATAGTTTTTGCCTCAAAAATCTCTCTGGCTCTCTTGCTCCGAAAGTGTTTGAGTATTTGCGTTTGATTGAAAAAGGGAGTGCATTTATGGTCTCTGGCATGTATGGCCAAGTGTCCAGACGGTGAGGCATGTAGGGAAAGCTCATGCTCTCGTAGTCGCACATTTACGCAGCGCCCAGATTGACCGACGTACAATCTCCCACATGTGCACGGAATTTCGTAAACGATGTTGACATATATATTCAGTTGACATATTTATGTGCGTGTTGGACTGAGCAGTGTTCTTGTCTTTCGTTCTGGGAGTTGATTTTTGGACACAGTTTCTTAAGTTTGTCAGGAGCTGATGTTACAACCCGTATGTCATATTTTGACGCTATTCGTTTCATGTTGTGTGATACTTTGTGTTGGTAGGGTATCACTGCCGGGCGCCGTGTCTTATCTCTTCTTCTTCTTTCATTGTGAGTGGTCAGGCTCTCTGCTACATCGAACATTAAAAAACTAGTATACCCAGATTCCTGTAGTTTTTGAACTTGTGCCTCAAAACTCTGCTTGGCTGTGTGCTCGCATGATTTTTGCAAGGCTGCTACGAAGCAGCTTTTTACAATTCCTCTCTTGATTATTTTAGAATGGGCCGAATCAAATGGTAGAAGTGATTTTTTGCACCGTGGTTTGTATGTCCAGCAAGTATGGTTGTCTTCAAAGGACAGCTGAAGATCTAGGAATTGAAGCTTGCTTTCATCTGGTAGCTCGTGGGTAAAGCTTAGTCCCTGAGATTGAGTAAGGAACGTGGTGCAGATATTGTTTACAGTTGAGTCATTTTGTTTAGGTCGCTCATGCAGTAGGACTAGATAATCATCAACATATCTGAACACCCGTGATACCAGATTTGCTGGGAGCTTCTGGGCTATGTTCTTGTCACATTGGGCTAAGAAGATGTTACACAGAACTGGTGCCACACATGAGCCAATGCATATTCCTTTTTTCTGGATATATGTGTTGTTGTTGAACGTCACTACAGTGGAGGTGAGGTAGAACTTCAGAAGCTTCATGAATGACTCTACGGAGATACCGCACTGATTTTGGAAGGACACAGTTCCATGGTTCTCGATGCACGCGCTGGTTGCCGCAAACATTTCCTTGTGTGGGACTGAGTAAAATAGGTCTTCCACGTCAAGCGAAAACCCATACCTCACTGTCGTGCCATCTTGTTTAAGGTGTTCTATCAATGTCTGCGAGTTAGGAATCAAAAATGGATCGTTGATTTCAAGATTTTTAAGGTGGTCTAGAAGGTATCTAGACATAGCTCCCTGCCATGATCCTTTTTCTGTTACCACCACTCGAAATGGGCAACTTTCCTTGTGAGTTTTTGCCGTAAAAAACATTTCCAATTGAACACCTTTTGCCGCGGTAATCTGTTTTCTGAGTTGAGTTAAGTCCAATCTATTGCGCAGTTGGAGAGCCTTTGCTTTTATCACTTTGGGTTTAAGCCCTTCCAAGTAGTTAAAATTCTTGTCAATCGCCAACCGAGCTTTATTAAGGTAGACTTCTCTAGGTGCCACAACGAAGCCTCCTTCCTTGTCGGAGACCAGCAGGTTTAAGTTGTTTTCTCGGAAATGGTCAACAACCCGAGATACGTTCAATTTTCTTTCACATGGTGGGCCTGCTCTCAGTACTACGTCCACGCAGTCTGCTACGCATCTCGTTCTATCATTTTCTTGGGCTTTTGAAGCGATGTCGTGGATGTTAGACACCATATACACTCCTTGCTGTTTCGGCTCTGTGCAAAATTTAGGGCCTTTTTCAAGCACCTTGCGTATATTTTCTGGAAGAGGTTCTCCGCCCAACAGGGTGACAGACTCACCCTTGGGCTGCGTCTTAGGTGAACGTAGGCTTTTCAGATGAGGGACGTAAGATCCCCACATGAATTCAGTCATCTGTCTGGCCGTGTTCAAGAAGGTCCTGTATCTGGATCCGCCACCTTTGTAATTGGGGTTTCCACACCCAGCAATAACGCTGAGGCAATACCTGTAAAACCGCACTTGTCGCCACATTTCAGACCTTAGGATCTTGCACATCCTCTTGTTATGTTGCACGGATGGTCTTGCATATCCGAAAAGGGCACTTACTTCTTGCGGCAACACATTATGTCTGATGGCAAAAGAGTAGAACCTCGCTTTGCATGTAGAGATGGCGATGAAATTTACATAAAAGGAAACACAGTCTACTGAAGAAACACACGGAAAAGGGCCCAATGTAGAAGAAAGATACTGAATTAAAATTAACTGTTGGGCTAGTTGGTTAAATATCTTAATTACAAAAGCGCAAAGGACAAGGACAGGACAAAGAATTAACAGGACAAGCGCTTACTAACAACTGATTGTTTAATGCTTAGTAAGAGAAAGACGAAAATGAGAGGAGATTTAATAAGTTAAAATTCCAATTGTTTTCCCACGTAAAATGATTAAAACATTAATTGAGAAAAATTAGGACTGATAGAAAAATTAAAGAAAAGCATCCAGATTAAGAAAAAAGGGTGAGGTACCCTATCTCTTTCTCAGACAGTGAAATTGATGGTGTGCTAATGCACGTGTCTCCTTTTTCGATTATAGTTTTTGCCTCAAAAATCTCTCTGGCTCTCTTGCTCCGAAAGCGTTTGAGTATTTGCGTTTGATTGAAAAGGGGAGTGCATTTATGGTCTCTGGCATGTATGGCCAAGTGTCCAGACGGTGAGGCATGTAGGGAAAGCTCATGCTCTCGTAGTCGCACATTTACGCAGCGCCCAGATTGACCGACGTTTAACCAACTAGCCCAACAGTTAATTTTAATTAAATAAGATATGGGCCTGCAGAGTTCGCGGACAAACCTCGGGGTGCCATGCTTTAGAGTATTGAGGAGATACACGCAACGTATTAAACAATCAATATTATTTAGGACGACCCACCTGTGCCTATTCATATTTTTTTAGAAATGAATAGACTTGTTATATTTTATTTACTATCGAACCTGCCACACCGACGGTACGTATAAAATCGGGGTCCCAACTCTTCATGATTTGTAACCTTTTGTCCCGAGATTTTCTGTTTTCTTATTCTTTTTTACAAGGAATGTATATTAACGCGCGCCAAGTAGGCAGCGCGGCCGTGGCCTAACGGTTCTCGTACCTGGCTCCCGCGCGAAAAGCCAGGGTTCGATTCCCGGGAGCCACGCGTGCGGTAGTGGCAAACATGTTAGGGATTGGCTTTCTTTCAGTAAGAGTAGTTCAAGATATTTGGTTGAGATTTATTCTGACTGTGTTTTGTTACTTGGCTTGCTGCTTCGTGCATCTCGGTGTTATATGCATCTTTTAGGTCTTTCACTGTGCCATACAGAGATACTTCGTGTTGGAACTCTCTGAGGGAATTCAGTTGTACAGCATCAATGCCATTTCTCCCTGACGATTCTAACCAGCAGTGCCCCCTAAGAAAAAATAAATAAAATGACGCCGTAGGAAACACCACCCAAATGAGTAGTCCTCGCCATAGCACAGAGGGGTTATCGACGCCAGCAACATGACATTGCACCGAAAAAACAACATAACCATGACACATAAAAAAAAAAAAAAAACTCAACAGCGCGCAGTTTTAAAAAAGAGGGACTAGAATATTGTAACATATTACCATTCATCGATTGGGAATAAAGTTGACCTGGGAAACTTTGGAAAATTGTGGAAATTAATTACTTCTAGTATTTTGCCCTTGTCGAAGGAACGAAAGACTCTTTTTAAACTTTAATAGGCGAGATAATCCCAGTGACGTGACTTCTGCGTCATTTGCGCCAAGATGAACCAAAGGGCCTACACTGCCATGTCCTGCTACATTCCACCGAAACGTGAGGACCAGCATTGCTCCAAAAAACGAATTTCGGAGTTTATCGAAGTATTCGGAGTTTATCGAATAAATCCGAATGGACCAAAATTTTACCGGCGGGTGTTTTTCGTAGTTTTTTCGGATTTATCCGAAAACACGGAGCCCTATTTATAAACTAGTATTTGGTACGCGGCTTCTTCTTGCGAGTAGCGATTATGAAGATATTTAGCATATTAATTAAAAAGAAAAATAGGCAAACTATTGCTTCACGATTTTCCAGAAGTTTATATTTTTATATTCCAAGTATTTTTAGATATTTATTTTGTGTCCACTGCATATGCAAACGAATGGGCGAGCGAGCTGCACTTTAACTAACCTAGGAAACATACGTTAGTTTTTCTCGTGCACTATTAATCACAAAAAGTAAAAAAAAAAAAAAGTAGCCTTTTTTTTTAACTTTTAGCCAGGCCAAGCGGCCACGTGATCTGGAGCCGATTATATGCTGCCAAAATTTATCATAGCCACGCGCTGGAGTTTGCAAAGCACAGGGAACGCGCCGAGTTTCAGACATTGCTAAGGTTCGGCTATTTCCGTCATTGCAGCGATTGGGCACGAGCCATTACCCGACTGCGTGCACGTCGATTTATTGATTGTCCCGAGGTCAAATCCAGTGCTCACGGAGTGTGTATGCCCACATGTAAAAGCCACATTAAAATATCGCCACCGCGGAGATCGCAAAACTTATTGACTAAATCCTGGGGATCATATTCTTGACAACGCCAACAATGGGATCCCCACAACTCTGTCACCGAGTTTTAAGGAGATTGACAGAAAAACGTCCGATTCTCTACTTGAAATTACACGGCGATAAAGAAGCTTCTTGGTCAGTGCGGTTGCGTGCAAGTATACTTGAGTCATACCAGTACCACTAAGCTTGTATTAGGTGAGAAATGCTCCTGGTCCATATCCTTGCACGGCACCTTTAAAGAACGAGATGACTTTCATTGATATCACAGTCACCCGACCGCTCAGGTTTAAAAAAAGTTTCAATCAAAACCGCTATTGAGATTTATATAAAGTTAGTAACGATGATGCAGGGATGGAGTTATGTTCTACATAGTGCGAGATAGACCCAACCTTTCCCGTCAGAACTTTCCAAAATGACAGTGATGCACCAATTCACGTTCGAATAGAGAGCATGAAACCATGAGTAGCAGACACTTTTTTTTATTCATGCTTCGTCAATTACATTTGGCATGAACGAGTAACTTGTAGAGTTATGTGTCACCTTGAGTTCATTTCGAAATGCTAGATCATTTGGAGAAGTTCTCCAAGTAAGAAGCAGGCAAAAACTTAAATTTGCCTGGTTTTGAGAGCCTCCTGCAGGTTACTTCCTTTTCCTTTTTGATGTCGTAGCTGAAGAAATACACCACGCTGAAAAAGAAAAAAAAAAGTAATGGCCTTTTACTGGCGCAATTTCGACGCAAAAACAAGAGGTTAGATTTATGTCCGGTTTATTTGTTGTAGTTAGGTACTTTTTTGTACGGAACTCGGCGACAGCCATCACGCTCAGGTATTCGGAGTGCACGACTGTTCAGATGTGGCACATTATTGACACTTCTTTTAACTCGGCGAACAAAGTACCAAGCCAAGATTTTAATTGGATGGCCTTACGGGTGAACCAATTCACTTGATATTATATATCTGAGAACTGAAAATTGAACAGCATATATATATTCTCAAGAAAACCTGATTTAGAAGAAAAAAATTACCAATGAGGCGATGGTTCATGAGTAATTGAGCATCTCATAAATTTGCGATTGGTTTATAAAATTTATACACTGTATATTAATCACCCAACCAATACACAAAAGTAATTGTGGACTGCGTGTGATAATAATAATCGGAGTTGTGTGGATATTTAGACAGCGTGTGGTTGGTCAGCCATTTCAAAGTTGCGACGAGTCACTCGCTGTAGATGAGAAATTTAGCCAGTGCAGTACAACCGCTAGCCTGGGGTCTTTAACGTGCACCACGCAGTAGTGGTACGCAACCGCATGCTGTTTCGATGTTCATCTAGACCGAAACGGGCAGGGGTGGGGATTGAACCCAGGATCCCTGGGTTCTGCCGCGCGAGCTTTCGCTCCACGTGCTCCAAGCTGGTGTGCGCTGCAAGTGTGGTTGCAAGTGCTGCATGGGCTGGCGTCTTCAGCAGCAAGTGGTCTGAAGTAAACATTGAAAACAAGGGGTACTTTGCACAGCGTTCATCCACGCCTTATTCCTGTTGTTGCACTCCAAATACTATAACCAGGCAGGCTGAGTGAGCTTGTGCAGCGCGTGTACGAGGTGTGACCAAAAAGTTCTGAGACTGACTTTGGAGCGTAAAAAACGAGGGCAGCACGGTGATGCGTGCCCAGCAGTCGAAAAAAAGGACCTTCGTGTCTTGTTACACCAACAGGCGTTGCTCTGTGGAAATTCGGAGCTGCGCTACACGAGTTTTTGTGACCACCTGCACGGGCACATTGGCAATGTCAACATAAACTGGATTCCAGAGCGAACATAAATTTGGCGTCAAAATCAGCAAATAAAAAACAGAGACCTTTAACATGATTTAAAAAGCAGTGTCAAAAGGCAGGGATCGTTGCGAAGTGTTTTAATTGGCACTCGCGCTTCAGGAGTGGCAGAACATCGCTGGACGACGAAGAGCGGTAGTGCGACCTTATCCGACTTCTCCTTGACTTCAGTGACGTTCTGCCAGGCGCGAGTGTCACTCAGAACACCTCGCATACCTCACTGCTTTTTGACATAGGGCCTCTAAATAATTTCGGAGGTGTCTGTTTCAGATTTGCCGAGTTTGACGTAAAATGAATGTTCGCTTTCGCTTGCGCTTGGAGTTAATGGAGAGATCGCCATTTTGCTTGTGCATGAGGTTGAACCAGTAACGTAGCCAGGATTTCTTTTCTTTTTGGGCGGGGGGAGGTTAACTGCGTTAATCCGTCCTCCTCCTCCTCATCCTCCTCGTCCTCCTCTTCCTCCTCCTCCTCCCCCCCTATGACGAAGCAGGGTGAGCTCGTCGGTACGGACGCTCATGCAAAAATTAGGGAGCTGTTGTTACGATAACGCGGGTAAAGCTGCATTGTCATTTTTCAAAACGGAAAACGGAGCAGGCTTCATTTATAGGAATACGGGCGTGGTGGCTCACTGTGCTACTGTCGTCGTAGTTGCGGCCGACCAACTTTAAAAGCTTCCTCACCGCACACAACTCCCTCCGCTTTTTGAGGTGCCACTGCATTACCAACGCTTGCCAGCCAGACAAAACACAAGGATAGCTATACTGTCACAAAAAATTAAGCATCAACAACAACAACAAAAAAAATTCTCGACGCTGAAAATTTAGAGCAACCGTTCAGGCACAAACACTAGGGACACATGTACAGGACCATGATGGAGAGGGCCAACTATGAGTGCCTTCATGTGCGCTTCGCATAGAGTGATGCCAACTGCCTGTTTCCCTTTCCCACACCCTCTTCCACCGCCATTTTGTTTCTCTCATTGTTTCCCCGTTCGCCGGAAAGTGGCCTTTGTGTCCATCGGTAATCCCATAGGAGGGGGAAAATGCTAATCCTCCCTCCGGAGGTTCCATAACGCTGCTCCGAACTTCTGAGGTAAGGTGCTTGTTTCCGGGAAGGTTATAAGCCCCACGGATTATCGCCGAGGAACAAAATGGCTGCTGGTTTGTCCGCGAGGGGATACGGTCCATTCGTCACATGCACACTCGTCACAGGACGATTGGTCACAGGACGATTGGTCACAGGACGATTCGTCACACAGGAACATTCGTCATAGGACGACTCGTCACATGGCAATAGTTAGTCCCCCCAAAAATGTATTGTTCAATTTGGTTCGGTCGGAAAAAGTGGCTCACCTCATATCTTACTATGTGTTTGGCTTCTCAAAGGCGAAGAATTTGTAACAAAAAGTTTTAGATTCTGTTTCGGTCCCGAACATTGAATGTTGGTTCGGCCTTACAAAGTGGGTCACATCTTAGCATGTCTTTCGCTTCTCAAGGTCAAAGAATTTGTAACAGACGTTTTAGTTTCTGGGTCCGTCCCGAACGGTGAATGCGGAGGCCATATAAGAGTGACTATTTTTGAACTCGGACTACATTCAAAATAATGGAGGGGATCGCAACAGAGAGAGGCTGTACACATTCACTCGTACACATTCAGCAGAAAGAATTCCAATACTTATTGATTTTGTCGAATAGATGTATGCAAGGCAAAAGTAAAAACTGATTTAGCTGCCAGTCGGATTAGTGCTCCTTCAAGCCAGCAACTGAGATCAACCTGCTAAAGACTCGTAATATAATGAAAGTAAAAGCGGAAGAGGAGCATTGTAAGATTAGTTTTCCTAACCATTGGTTTATGTAACAGTGGGAAGTCGTGAAAGTCCTCATCAGGGAATGTGGGCAGTTGTTGAAATTTGCGATTTACTATCGTCGCCTGCCCGATCGATGTGACCAGTTGCCCGCATGACGAGTCATCCTGTGACGAATGTTCCTATGTGACGAATCGTCCTGTGACCAATCGTCCTGTGACGAGTGCGCATGTGACGAATCGTCCTCATCCCGTCGGTGAGTGGTATTACAAAGGGTGGCATCACCCTAGCAAAGCGCACATGAAGGCTCCTTAGGGCCAACTAGTCTACAAACCCTATCAAACCCCGTAAACGTCCGGCAAGGTGCCAAAGTCGACATTGCACGTCGTTGACTCATGGCGGATAAACCACGATTCTACGAACTTTCGCGGCACCCACCTCTGCTTTCGTGACAAAGTCGACGCATAGTTGAAATCCAAAGCATGACCTTTCGTCAAGAAATGATCGACCAGCTCGGACTTCGCCCGTGTAGCGTGTGTTGAATTGGCAACATGTCTTCTGTGTTCCTTAAGAAGTGTGCTTGTTCGCCTACCCGTCTCACCAATGTAAGTGGCGTCGCAGTAGACATTTTACTAAAGAAAAAAACGACAAGCCTACAGGGTACTTCGCTGAAATAAGCAAACTACACTAGAGCACTACACGGGCTCGGGCCAGCCCGAAAGCCCGAGCCCGGCCCGGCCCGCGGGCCGGGCTCGGGCCGGGTAGCACGTATTTTCTCGGGCCCGGGCCGGGCTCGGGCTTGAACAAAAAAGTTCTCGGGCCGCGCCGGCCCGGGCCGGTTCGGGCCGTGCCTGGGCAATCTTGTGCCGTAAATCATAAATTGTTGTTGATAGCAAGAAGTTTGCTCATTGATCTTTTAGGTTCATTGAATACAAAAAAAGCGAAGTGCAAATTCACTACAGCGTTGTTAAAAATAATAACTAAAAGGCATCTTGAAGCTAGAAAGCCTTCAAGTTTTTTCCGTGTGAGCGAGGGTTCAGTGTTATAAATTGTAAACAAAATAAAGTCGCAGTCATATGCTCACTATTAGGAGAGAAGTAGGCGTTTATTAAAACAGTGATGTCATCCAGCGCCTTGTGCTGGTTTGCTACAATGTGTAATGAACGGAAAAACAAAGAAAAAATAGAATGGAGTAGAGAAAGGAGTAGAGAAAGGTAAGAAAACAAAATTGATATAAAGAAAGTATAAGAGAATATAAAAAAGTGATACAAGGTAAAAAAAAGTGAAAGCCGTTTACAACTTCCTGTAACGCCGAATTGGAGCGCAGCTCTTGAGGAGGAGGAGTGGAGGGTATATTCCTCCTCCTCCCTCGTGATCATGCCTGCTAGTCCTCCTCCCCTCCTGCTCCCCCTCCCTCTCCTTTACCACCTCCTCGTCCTTCAAGCTCCTCCCCTCCCCTCGCCTCCGCCTCCTCGTCTCTCCTCCCCCCCTCCTCCACCTTCGTACTGCTTTCCTCCTTGCCGCTCAAGCCGGACAATGAGGGGAGGAGGAGGAGAAGGAGGGGGAGGAGGAGGAGGGGGAGGAGGAAGAGGGGGGGAGGAGGGGAGGAGGAGAAGGGGGAGGAGGAGGAGGGGAGGAGGAGGGGGAGAAGGAGAGGGAGGAGGAGGAGAGGGAGGGGCGCGGTTACGCCGACGCCGACGCCGACGCCGACGGCGACGGCGACGCCGACGGCGACGCCGACGCCAACGGCGACGCCGCTCAGGCTGGAAACGGGCCCCTAAGAGCTGCGCTCTAAAATTTAAAATAAATGGAGATGTGAGTGTTTCAATGGCAAGCGTTATTTACCACTTCAGTTCACTTTTGAACACTACAGCCTGCGCTGTAAACGAGTATTCTTCAAAAACTTCAGGAGAGCTTCTGTGGCCTTATAACCGTCAGAAGATGTCATCCAGGGTCCAAACACGATGTCGATGATTATTTGTTCTTCCTCTTTGATGTTGAGGTGTTTCTTCATTAACTGCCTTTCATGGCTGTATTCCTCGCATTCGCAGACTACG